TCCCCCTCCCCCTCCTCCTCCTCTTCCTCTTCCTCCTCCTCCTCCTCCTTCTCTTTCTTCTCCTTCTCCTCGTTCTAATCCTCCTTCTTCCCAAACTGAGATTAAACACAGGGCCTCTTGTGTACAAGGCAATCACTCCATGATTTAGCCATGACCTCCCTTTTGATTTTATTCTGTTTTAAAGATAGGGTCTCTGTAACTTTGTCTGGTCTGGCTTGGAACTGAGTGTCCTTTTGTCTCTGCTGGGAGGGAGCTTGGGTTACAGGGCTGTTCCACTACATGGGGCTTCATATACACCTTTTGAATTCATTCACAAGACACCCCTGTAAAGTGCAATTGTTAGCCCTCTAAATGGGCCTGGAATCTGAGAGGCAGGGGAGGTGCTTAGTAAGCAGTCAAGATTGAGCTCAGCCTTTTGATTTGGCAGTGCTTTCTTGCCTATAATTCAGGTCCTATAATTCAGGACTTCTCCCTGACCTACTTCTTTGCCATGATCATGAATGATATGAAACCTCCTCAGAAAGAAGCCTGCTTGGCATTTAGGAACTGAACCTAAAAGGTTAGGTCTCCAAATGTATATCCTTGTGTTGTATCCCATGCACTGGGAGTCCTCTAAGAGAGGAGATGCAATACTGAGTGGGCAGAGAAGTGTGAACTCTGTTGGGGGGAAACATGAGTTGAACTTGATCTGACTTACCTGTCAGCCAGAGGAGTTCTGTGATATCTGTCACCCCTAGGGCCAGTTAGCAAGTGTAAGCTCAGGAAGCAGATGGGCAAGAGGTTTGGCCTGGGCTGGGCAGATTGTAGCCCTCAAAAGGAGGCCTGTATAGGTACCACAAGGCACATTTCTACCATGTTTTTAAAAAGTGGTACCTAATTCAAAACATTTTTTAAACATGCAGGGTAGCTATTTGTGGCCTGCAGACTGCTGGTTTGCTAGTTCGACTTTAGGAAACACCATCTTTCTGAAGTACAATAAAGTGAGACTGATGGGGGACAAGTAGTGTCTTCTTGCTGTTTATCTTTAAGAACAGCAACAACAAAAAAAATCAACAAAGCTAGAGATAATTATCAACAGTGCCTGCAGTGCTGGTGCCTGCAGTTCAGAGGGGCAATTGAACATTTCATTCATTCAATCAGCACTAATTTTACCTATGCTGCTGGTCCTGCCCCAAGAGGCAATGCTTATAACGTTGTAATCTATCTCCATGGTCATTTTCCATTCTCAGCAGGGGAGAGGATAGCATTAGTGGCAAATGTGTTTGTGGACCTCTGGGAACATGAAGGAGTGAGATTTCAGTTTGCCAGGGGAATGTATATGGAGATACATTTGAATTGTAATTTGCCTTGTGTTTATTTCTTACTCAAGTCATGGGGGAGTAAGAACTATGCTAAGAATGTAAGCTGAAGTAGGACCACCTGCATTTCAATGCTTTCCTGTACAATACCTGACCTTGGGTACATGAACAGCATGCCTAGAATATAGTCAATTTTTATGAATATGAGTTCTTATAAATTATTTTACTTCCTTCCTTCCTTTCTTTTGTGTGTGTGTGTGTGTGTGTGTGTGTGTGTGTGTGTGTGTGTGTGTGCCAGTCCTGGGTCTTGAACTCAGGGCCTGGGTGCTGATGGTGAGCTGTTTTGCTCAAGGCTAGCCCTCTACTACTTGAGCCACAGCTCCATTTCCAACATGTTTGTGATTAATTGGAGACATGTCTTATGGACTTTTTTTCCCCCCACAGTCTGGCTTCAAACCACAATCCTCAGATCTCAGCCTTCTAGGTAGCTAGGATTACAGTGCCCAGCATTATAAAAGATTTTTTTTGAATGCAGAAATATTCAGGGAAAGAAATAAAGGCTTCTTCTACTTCTCCCCTCCCTCTCCCTACCTCTGAGCTAATCATTGACCATGTATTTCTTTCTGGTCTTTTTCAATGTGTCAGTGTATGCCCCACTAAGTCTGGATTTATAAGTGAATATATGATGCATAGTTTATTGACATTACAGCACAAGACATAATAATATTACCTACATTTCTAACTGTAGGACCAGCCTAAAAATATTGAGTATCTTTTTTTAAATATATATGCAAATTCATGCAATAGGGCTCTGTGATTTACTTTTTCCATTTAACAATGTAACTGGAAAGACTTTCAGCATCGGTAACAGATACCACTTCATTCTTTTTAACAGGTGCATAGTATACATTTCATGATGTTAGACTGACACATTCCCCTGTTGATGGACTTCGGGTTTATTTTCAATTTCATTTATATGTGTGTCTTCATTTATCTGTGTCCATAAGTATTTCTGGATAAAAATTATGCCTGGAAATGGAATGAGTGGACCAAAGATAAAGCATATTTTAAGCAGTTATTTAAGCAAAGTTGTCTTTGTTTATTAAGGCCTGAGAGATTGTACAGAGTTTTAGTGTTTTTTTTTTTTTCTGGTCCTGGGTCTAGAACTCTGGACTTGGGTGCTGTCCTTTAGCTTCTTTTGTTGAGGCTAGCACTCCACTGTTTGAGCAACAGTGATACTTCTGGCTTTTTCTGAATAGTATATTGGAGATAAGATTCTTACGGTCTTTCCTGCCCAGGCTGGCTTTGAACTGCAATCCTCACGTCTCAGCCTCTTGAGTAGCTAGGATTACAAGCTGTAGCCATCAGCACCTGGCAAGAGTTTTAATTAATTTTTATTTACATTTACTTGTTTGAGGAGAGGTATAGTCAAAAAGTGCAGCATTCAAAATTCATAAATGGTAACTACCTACCTTTATACCCTAACCATTTATTTTCTTTTTGGAATACATTGATTTTGCCAGTTTTTGTCTTCTTTCAGAGAGAATCCAGGTGCCTATATGCAAAATAATATATACCTTTCACTATTTCCATTTTAAAAATAACTATGCTATGCCCTTTTCTGTATATGACATTTAAAAATCTTTAAAATGTTATTTGAGAACATTGTATCATGTATATTCATTCTAAATGCTGATAGATTCTTCTAAGTTTATCCTTAAAAAATCAGCTTGCATTTCCTTAATTTCTCTCACTGCTTGGCCAAATCCTTTGCCAATTTTTCTGTTGAGTTGTTTGTAATTTCACCAATGTATGAGGGTCTCTCTAAATTGTGGACTTTAATCCTTCTCTTGTTAATAAATGCAATGTCATTTGCCTGTAGGTCTTTTCTCAGGTTGGCCTATCATACCTCTGTGCAGAAGTATTGCACTTTTATGAAGTAAACCTCTGTCA